GAACGAAGGAAAAATGGGGAACCATATTACCACACTACACTTGGAAGGAAGTGTCCTGAGTGAGACAATGGAGATCGATGAAAACCAAGATTGGCGAAAAACAATTCGCGATCTGTTACAAAGTCAAGTGCCAGAGGGTGATAAACAGGAGGCTGAGAAAGCAGCCCGATATTTGAGTAAATATTTTGAGATCGAAGGAGTCTTGTATAAGAAGTCGATGGTCGGGCCCCACCTGCGATGCGTTTCTGAAGGTGAAGGGAACCATGTCTTGAAGGAAATCCATGAAGGATGCTGCGGAGCACACATAGGATCGCGAGCCCTAGCTGGGAAAGCCCTTCAGGCAGGCTATTATTGGCCCAATATCCGAAAAGAAGCCGAGCGATTAGTACAAGGATGCGATAGATGCCAGCGTCATGGTCAAATCCCCCACGTTCCAGCCGAAACAATGACGATGATCAGCTGCCCGATCCCTTTTGCTCAATGGGGAATCGACCTGGTGGGCCCCTTGCCAATGGGAACGGGGCAGGGAAAATTTATGGTGGTTGCCGTCGACTACTTTAGCAAATGGGTAGAGGCAGAACCTCTGGCAAAAATCACTGAAGACAAAATGATACATTTCCTGTTCAATAATATCTGCTGTAGATTTGGGATTCCAAAGATCTTGGTTTCGGATAATGGGACGCAATTTCAAGGGAAGCGGATCCAGGCTTGGTGTGTCGACATGGGGATCAAACAGCGATTCGCCTCAGTTGCGCACCCTCAGGCGAACGACCAAGTTGAAGTGACAAACAGAACCATCTTGCAAGGGCTGAAGAAAAGACTGGAGAAAGCATCTGGTGCCTGGGTCGACGAGCTGACAACGGTCCTATGGGCCTATAGGACGACTCCGAGAAGTTCAACGGGGCAATCACCATTCCACATGGTTTATGGAATGGACGCCGTATTGGCCATCGAGGTTGGATTGCAATCTCACAGGTCGACATTCTATGAGGAAAGGACCAATGAGGAGCTAGCAAAAGAAGCCCTCGACATGATAGAAGAAATGCGAGAGGAAGCCTGGCTGCGGTCCGTAGAATACAAGCAAAAAATGCGGGCAGCTTTTGACAGAAAAGTCCGCACCAGGCGATTTCAAGTGGGAGACCTTGTCCTTAAGCGAGCGGATGCCCTTAAACATGTCGGGAAGCTGGAAGCCAACTGGGAAGGACCTTACACCATCACCAAGGTACTCGAAAGAGGCGCATATGAACTCGAAGATGGCGAAGGACGGCAGCTGCCGCGATCCTGGCACGTGATTCATCTCAAACGCTTTTATGATTAAGAATTTCACTCTTTGTACTGAACCATGGTTAATCAAATTCTATAATGCAATCTCTCGATTTTATATTTAAGATTGAGACGTTTTCCATGTCGATTTTATTATAATTAGAAAAATTAAGTCATATCAAGCAACAAAAGTTGCATGCCTCGAGCGAAATCTCGGCAAGGCTATAAAGCCCACGACTATAAAAGTCGACTCAAACAACAAAAGTTGTATGCCTCGAGCGAAATCTCGGCAAGGCTATAAAGCCCATGACTATAAAAGTCGACTCAAGCAACAAAAGTTGTATGCCTCGAGCGAAATCTCGGCAAGGCTATAAAGCCCACGACTATAAAAGTCGACTCAAGCAACAAAGGTTGCGTGCCTCGAGCAAAATCTCGGCAAAGCTATAAAAGCCCGCAACTATAAAAGTCAGCTCAAACAACAAGTTATCTCATATAACCCGTCTACAACTGCAAAAGCACTAACTACAAAATGTGTGAGCAAAAGAAATGTCGATAAATCTACAATCGCGTAGTTGCAAGTAAAAACTCGAGGAATGCATGAACAACAACGTTGCAGGAACGTAACGACTTAAGCCAAAGATAAAATAAGGAGTAATATTTAAAAAAGATTCATTACAAGAGTCGTCTCAACCTTTACAAACTGGAAAATTAGGTTGATCAGAACAAGAATAAACGACAAATAGAAGCAATAAGCCTCGAAAGTACAGCTAAGTTACGACATCTTCGTCGCTCTCCTCGAGGATGGTCACAACCTGATCACCATCACCGGGCCCGACAGGATGGATGGGAGAAGGCAAGGGAGCATCCAGTTGATAGGTGAGCTTAGCCTCTCGAACAACTTTCGCCTCGAGACCCGTCCACCAGGGGTAGTCGTCCGGAAGGGACGGATCGCCCTCATAACCGTCAGCGTCGGGAAGCGTACGCTTCAGGGCCTCTCGGTCGAGTTTCCCAGCAAACTCAGATCCCGCTACCACAGCCTCCCAAGCGTCAAAGGCATAGTCGAAATATTGAACGGCGGCGGGGCAGAGCTTGTCGAGGAACTCAGGAGAATTGCAGAAAGCCTTGACGACTTTTTTGCGATACTCACGGACAAAGGCAGCGCCTATGCCAGTCCTCAAAAATGACTTCCGGCCCTCAACGATGCCGATGTCCACTTCGTACATGTTCGCCTCCTGAGCCTTCTCGAGGTCGGCCTGAAGCTTCTCGTTGTCGTGCAGGGCAACGGCCTTGTCGGCTCTCAACTTATCGACCAAGGTTTTAGAATCCTCCAGCTCTTTCTTTAACTGGGCAATCTCCCTGAGCTGCGCCTCGCACTTGTCCTCGAGGGCCTTACTGGAGGAAGTGGGGGGTCGAGTGCCGGCCTTGAGGCCAGGGAGAGCGGCCGCCAAGAACTGCACAAAGAAACAAATAAGGAAATGCAGAAATACGCAAGACGTTTACTTAAGAACAAAGCACATACCCGAACCAGACATTGGGTAGCGTAACAAGAGCGCTCGTACTCATTCCCCTCGACACGAGCCTTATCGGCCTCGGGGAGCACGAAGTGAAGGTATTCCGCCACCTTATACGATTCCGGATGATTCCAGAGTCGAGACGGCATCTTGACCAATGCGTCCTTGTAAGTAACGGACGATTCCGTCCGCTTAGGAGCAGCGTTCCCCTCGTCCATCTTCTCCTTACCCGTGTTGGTCTTACGACGCTTAGGGTCGCCAAGGAGCAAGGGAGGGGCGCGATCATCCTGAGGCCTCTTGCAGGCACTCGGACCCGAGGACTTGCGTTTCCTAGCCATGGCAGTCGATTGT